AGCTTTGTCCAGGTCTCCCAAGCAGGTGCAGGGTCCCAAGGTTTTAGGCTGTCCCCTACTGCTTTCCCAGGCCACAAGCAGGGAGCTGGACAGAAAGTAGATCAGCTGGAATGCAAACTGGCACCCACACGGGATCCTGCGCATGCAAGGTGAGGATTCAGTCACCTGGCTACCATGCCGGACTGAAGTTTTATGACTTACTGCTGGACACTTACCTCTGTGGTCACCAGGAGTTGCTCTGTGTGCTTCAGCTGGGGGAGGATAAAATGTATCACTCCTATGCCCTGATGGCACCAACTGTTGCTCTGCCCACCCCGGCTCCGTTCCCTACAGCCCCAATACTGTCCTAAATTGAGTGGCTATTCCTGCAATCTCGGGGAGTATTCTTCCTCCTCCTCTTTTATCTGGAAGAGTTTGGGCTGTACTGGCACATGAGTTCATCTTTGGAATTTCTAAAGAATTCCGCACGGAGAAACCATCTGGGCCCAGGTAGGCCTATGGTAATCAGTAACAAATGCAATGAATTAATTTAATTGCATTTTTAAGCTTTGCTACTTCTTTTTTTTTCTATTTCAGTTATTTTTGGGGGTGTGGGGGAAAGGTGAAGGGAGAAATGTGTTGTTCATGCGAATTTATCCATTTATCTGGGCATAACATGGTTCGCAGCATTCTCTGGTCACCATGCGTTAATTTCTGAAAGACACACGGTGCAGTCCTGGAGTTTACTGACATTCATTCCCTTGGTCTCCCGGTCAGCCCTGCAAAAGAACTGTCAGTCTTGTTAAAGAATTCCAAATTAATTGTTCAAAGGAGATGCTTTTTTTGGACATCGCACATGGTTTATAATGAAAGTTTTGGTGTTGTTATTTTCCTGCTGTTTAATTTCTGGTTCTAAGTTTCTGACATTTTTGACATGATTTCGATTCGCAGGTCCCTCACAAAGCACAAAGGCCGAAAGCGACGCCTTTCCGGTCACTAAGATGTCAGCCATGGCCCACAGGACTGCTATGTCACACTTCCATTCCATTGCCTCACTTTCCTTTCTGGTTTGTTGCTTCCTCCTGAATGTATTGCATGGAGATCTACTTCTTTCCTAAGATCTTCTCTTTTAAACACACATTTATTTCAATTTATTTGAGAGGTAAAGGGATAGAGAGAATATGGATGATTCCACCACCAGGTTGTTCATATCCCATAAAAGCGGAGACCGGGCTAGGCTGAAGCAGGGGCCTGGAACTCCAGCTGAATCCTTCATGCAGACGGCTTTGTCCATGCAGCTAGCTGATCACTGCTGCTGCCTCCACGGTGCACGCTGGCAAGCTGGCATGAGAAGCAGAGCCAGAATCCAGGCACTGGATGTGGGTGCAGGCAGCCCAGCGGGGGCCTTCACTGCAGCACCAAACACCAGAGATGCATTCTGATCTCCTAAAAGCATGGGCGTTGACAGACCGTAACTTTTCCATGTTTTCCATCTAGCCCTTCAGTGTTTTATTTGTTTGTCTTCAGAAATATTAGTATTTAAAATACTGTGTTGGGGTAGACACTATGGCAAAGAAGGTCCAACTGCTGTCTGGGACACCTGCTTCCAACAGTGGAGCGCCTGCATTCAGGTCCCACTTTCACTGAGTCTGTGCCTGGCTGGCGGCGGACAACGGGCCAAGGACCAGGGTCCCTGCCACCCGTGGGGGCCAGGACAGAGTGCCCGTGGAGCCAGGACAGAGTGCCCGTGGGGGCCAGGACAGAGTGCCCGTGGGGGCCAGGACAGAGTGTCCTTGGGGCCAGGACAGAGTGCCCGGTTCCTGACTTCACCCTCTGGTCATGGCAGGTGTCAATTTCTCCCTCCCTCTCTCTCTTTCTCTCTCCCTCTTATTCTTCCTCTCCCTCACCCTCTTTTTTTAGTTATTTTTATTGGAAAGGCAGATATTTAGAGAGGAGGAGAGACAGACAGGAAGATCTTCCATTTGATGATTCACTCCCTAAGTAGCCACAATGGCTGGAGCTGAGCCGATCTGAAACCAGGAGCCTGAGCCTCTTCTGGGTCTCCCACGCAGGTGCAGAATCTCATGGGTTTGGGTCATCCTTGACTGCTTTCCCAGGCCACAGACAGGGAACTGGATGGGAATTGGGGCTGCCGGGATTAGAACCGGTGTTCATACAGGATCCCAGGCCTGTGAGGGGAGGAATTTATCTGCTAGGCTATCAAGCTGGGCCCTAGAAGTGTTTTATTAATCAATTCTCTTCAATGTAGTTTCATACTAAATGAGTCTTTTTAAAGTTTTACACAACTGAGACAACCCCCGTGTTTAGATGTGGTTTAAGATCTGTCAACTAAAATTTAAACTTGCTTTAACTTTCAGATTTTCCTAGTTTGCCATTCTTCCCCGTAGTTTAGTGGATTGGATCTTTATTCATCCTTCTTTGATGTGTTTAGAAATTGAACATCCCATAGGCATCCTTGTGTCAGCTGATCTGAGTTCTGACGAGCAATTAGTCTTATCAGTATGTGAAGTGGGACGCACCTGTGTCCGTCTGACGCCCTCAGGATTCCTTCTTCCCTCCACTCTAAGTGTTTTGAGTTACAGTGTTTCTTTTTTTTACTTCTGAAAACATCCTTAATTCTCTTCTTCACCCACGGGAACAGTAATTTACCGCATTCTGATCAGTGCTGTATGTGAGCCCAAGGACTTGTCGGTGCTGTTTCCTGAGGGCAAACGGGCCACGCACCTGCAGGCCACTGACACTCCTGCTTGTCTGCCGTGCCCCTGAGCTCAGCTGCCATTACCTGCTGCTCTGCCCCAGGGTTTTTCCCTCTCCAGAGCATAACACACGCAGAATCACACTTCTGGCCCTTTGATTCTGACTCGCGCTTGGTGAAATGTGTTGGACCTGCCCATTCTGCTCTTTGTGAAGCCCGCCTGCTGACATACTGCACAGCCTGCCCAGCTGCTGGCCAGCTGTATGATGGAGCCCACTTCGGGGCAGTCACACCTCCTTAGAATCCTCTCCCTCAAAGTGAGGACTGAATTTAGGGACCCATTCTCAACACAGAGAATGTGACAGGGGTGTAGGTATGTGACATGTCAGGCAAACACTGTGGCTTGCATTCTGGGTGCCATCTCTGGCATGCTTGACCTGAGGGAAGCCAAATGCTGTGGTGTGAGGCTGTCCAGACAGGAGGCCGACGTCATGGGCCTGGACGTGAATTTCCTGAGTCTGGCCATGAGCAATGAGGACCCTTGAGAACGAGAGCCATCCCTCAGTCAGGGCTTAAGATGGCTTTGGTTTTGGCTGATGCCCTCAGATGGCAGACAGCACTGCCAGCCTCAGGGCCCACAGAAGGCACAGAAGGGGAAATAGCGTCTGCATCGAGTCTGGGTGCAATCCAGTCACCAGCTGAAAGCACCGGAGGGACTTTTCGGAATTCCATGACTGGCTGAAGTAGACACTGTCTCATTTCTCGCACGAAGACTTTCAGGAGTAGGATCACTGGGTTCTAGCAACGGTTTATGTTGAAGCTGATGAGTCTACCAACTGCTCTGTGGTGCCTTGGTTAGTGTTGGGGACTCTCTGCCATTTCTCACCACGCTTCTCTCGGTCACGGCTTCTCCCCTCTCTCCCCAGGATTCCAGTAACCCTCCCAGCTGGGTCCTGTGTGCCCCTTAGCCATTTCCTGGCATTCCCATTTTTGTCTTTGGATCCTTCATGTTCCATTCTAGAGATATCCTGACTCACCCGTTGCCTCTCCAGTTTATTTTGTAATAGATTTTATTTGAATATAACTTTACTTTACTTATTCCACTCTTTTTTTTTCAATTCTATTAGATAGGTTTCTTTATCATTTCCAATTTCTTTAATCTTGTGAAACAGAGAAATACTGGGTTTCGGGTGCATTGCATGTATTTGAGCTCACTCTTTGCAGCACTTGTAGCAGTAGTGCACTTGACAGCTGTTTCTGCTTGTACTTTTATTCTGTGTACTTACATGCCCGGTTAGATTTGGGTGGTGTGCGGTGTTTCTGAGGCCTGTCCTTGTTCATAGGTTTACGTGCGCTTCTCCCAGGAGTCTGCAGCCCTGTTCTCTTGGAGCATCTCAATCCAATTTCCGACTTCCGGGATAATTTACGGGTGAGCTCAGGCCCCTGGTTTCCGTTCACCATGGCTCTCAGGATGGACAGCTTAAGACCCACCTCGGTCTGGTGGGACCCAGACTCACATTCTATGCCTGTATCTCCAGGAGGCACGGGAGGCACAGCTGCACGTCTCAGCCTTCTCTCCGGACAGGCAGGTGCCCCTAGTATATCAAGATACAAGCTTCCATGCAAGACTGATAGGCACCCCTCATCTTCCTCTCCACCCACACCGGTGCCGTGGCAACAGCTCATGATCCAGACAGAACTGCAGTGCTTCTGATCAGAACTGACAAAAATCCCACTGACTCTCATGGATGTTATGGATGGTCCCAGGGAAAGCTCGGCCTAATCTAACAGTCGGGAGCGCCTGAATTCCTTCCTGTGTGAGATAGACATGTATGTTTCAGCAGCCATTCCACAGCATTGGCTACACACAACCAAACTTATAAAGGAAGTCCGGCACCTACTGTCCGTCCATGTTACTGGACATGCCCAGGGAAGCCTGGCACCTACTGTCCCTCCATGTTACTGGACATGCCCAGGGAAGCCTGGCACCTACTGTCCCTCCATGTTACTTTCCTGCGCACTTCTTAGAAGACACATATTCTCAAGCTAGAATTATTCGTGGAGCATCCATTTTTTCCTGCCCCGTGTAAGATGACCTCCCAAATCCCTGCAAAATCAACAAATATCAAATACAATGTGATTTACTCTGAATAATAATTGGCTGAAAATCATTCTTACAGTTTCACAGCTAATAGTCTGTTTTCTAGTTCTTAGGCCTTTGTATTTTAAATCTATTCTTCCAAGGACAGGTTGATAAAATCTTAAGACATTTACATATTTACTTTTGAATTTAGACAGGGCTTACCATTTGAGACTGAATTTCCATTTTCAGCAGTTATTGCACTGGATATGGAATTAGATAACTGGATTCCATGGCTATTTGCATTTTTATCTCGAGTCTCTGAAGCAAGTTCTGATGGAGGGAGACCATCCCGGACAGTCAGGTTCATGTTAGTTTCAATACCTAAAATAAATTTCAAAAGACACGATTATTTTATCATACAATATACCAAACAGTCTTGAAATCAAAGTTTAGAAGAAAATCATAGAACTCATCAAATCTTAACTATAATGAAAACAAACTGATATTAATCCTCACTTAAGTCCGTGGCTTATGCAATGCTCACCACGTTGTGCAATGCTACTGTTAAACACAGAGAGAAGGGAAACAGATTTCATAATCTGAGTTTCCAAACATACCAACACACACATCACACAGCATGCTGTAGGTTGCCCAGCTACAGAAGGCAACCCGTTCAAGTCCCTAATTTTTGTTTTTTAACTCATAACTTTGGAATAGACTAAGGCAAAATTCGCAATTCTGATGAAAGCAGAAACACAAGAACCTTTTCCATAAGTTCATAAAAAAATGGACTCAAAATACGGTTCTTTTGATGCAGCCATTTTCGAAATGTATACATGGTTTCTTCATGGTATACATTTGCTTTGAACTTTCCGAGGACTTTTTATAGTTTCAAACATATACAACACTATTGTGAAAGCCTCTGTTAGCCTTTTCGGAACTGTAATAGTGAAAACACCACTGTGCATTTTAAGCACTAAAATGATTCCTGAAGGGTGACCTGGGTGCTCACATTGCGTGTTCTGAGATGTACTGGCACAGAAGCCACAGTCCCCATGTAGCAATACAGACACTCTGATTTTTCCAAAAACTACGTGGTCACTGACCAAGGAGATGCAGGCAATGCCAAGGCTGGGGAGTTCCTTGGCGTTCCTACAGGACCTGTGGGCAAGGTCCACACGTGGGCAGAGATCGCAAACCAAGCACCAGTGTCCCACACAGCCATTTCCCATTGCCCACCACTCCCTGAGCTGCAGCTCTTTTTCAGGCTGTGCAGGTTCTCCTGGGATAGGCCTTCATGTTTCAGGAACCGCACAAAGCTTCCCGCCTCTTGGGAGGATTTTTTTTTTAAGACTTATTTAGTTAAAGGCAGAGCCTCAGCTAGAGATGGCCAGATCTTCTCTCTAATGCTTCACTCCCCAAATAGTCTCAGCAGTCAGAACTGAGGCAAGCCGAAGCCAGCAGCCTGAAATTTCTTCCTGGCCCCCCAGATGGGTGCAGGGAGCCAAGTGCTTCGGGCTTCTTCTACTGCTCTCAGGCACATAAGCAGGGAGCTGGGTGAGACCTGGAGCAGCTGGAGAGGAACAGCTGTCCATATGGGGTGCTGGATGTTTTGTGGGACAAGTCTCAGCTACTACATAATGGACTATCTTAAAGATAAACCTTGCTGGGGCCTGGTGCACTAGGCAGCCTAGTGGTTAAAAGTCCTTGCTTTGTATGTGTGGGAGCCCATATGGATGCCAGTTTGTATCCTAGCTGCTCTACTTCCTTTCCAGCTCCCTGCCAGTGGCCTGGGAAAGCAGTAGAGGTCGACCCAAGGCCTTGGGATCCTGCACCCACATGGGAGACCCAGAAGAAGGTCCTGGCTTCTGGCTCCTGGCTTTGGATCAGCTCAGCTCTGGCCATAAACAACAGAAGACAGCCCGAGTCACTGAGTCCCCACAACAACGCAGAAGACTCAGATGCTCCCAGATCCTGTTTTAGGGTAGCCCAAACCTACTCAGCTCAGCTCTGGCCATAAGTCTGCCTTTGCAATAAATAAATAACTATAAGTAAATAAGTCTTTAAAAGTGAAAAGATAAACCTTTAAGTTTTAGGTCAACAAATTATTCAAAAGCGGTAATACACACCATTTGCATAATTACACTTTAGATTGAGTGAAACAGCATTTTCGCACTTCTGAGCCAAAACCCAAACCAGGCTCCCCTGGGCAGTGATGCTACTGGTGCTTTAGTCCCCGGAGAATCAGGGTTACTTTCATATGGCTGGAACATGCCAGGATGGAACTTTAACAAACTCTAATTACATTTTCTGTTCACTAAAAGACAGACTGCATTGTGCAACAGACATGCTTAAAACTCTTGATAGAATTTCTGTTGCCTGAAATCTGAAGAAAAGGAGAGAGGATGGGGAGAGAGGGAGAGAAAGGAGAAAAAGGGAGAAAGGATTGTTAATCAGGGTTGGTTGGTTGGTTGCTTGCTTGGTTCTTTCTGACTCTTCTTCTGGGACTCACCCTTTCACGCACCCGAATCCTGTGCTCAGCCGTGCTACAGCATCAGGTGCTTGTCCAGTGCCCCTGGACGGTCCAGGGGCACCTGGACCAGTGCACCTGGACAGTCAGTGATGCAGTGTGTGCATGGCCACTCCCCTACTGGCCCTGTACAGCAGGTGGGTCCTGCGCCAGGTCACCTGCACAGATCTCTCAGTTACACAGAGCACGGGTCCTCTCTGCTGAGCAAGAACCGTGAAGAGGCAGAGGGAGGAAATGCTGGCTAGACTGTACCAGGGAGGAGCAGAGCTGCGTGAATGCGGTAGAAGACATCATCCTCAAAGGATCAATGGAGCCACAGGCCTCCCAACCCAGTGCATGAAGGAAAGCGAAAGACCTCGGCTAAGCCATGACACAAGCACAAAGCTGAGTCGGCCTTAACTGCTTAGCCTTAACTGCAAAGTTACGGAACGGCCTGAGAATGAAGAGACATCTACCCAGTGTAGTCGGCTCCAGTTTGCCTTTTCAGAAAAAGCGTCAGCCTGTCAATAAAGCAGGTTGAGTTTTCACACTTGGATCACTGACACACTACACTGAGACACATCTGCCCACACTTCCAGTGTGGCTGTTTCATTGCACTTGCACCATTTGTAATTCGGTTGTTTACTGAGTTATTTAGTTATTTCTTGTGCCAGGGTCTTAGGTGCCAGGCGCTACAAAATTACTCCAGATACAGAGTTTGACTCCCAGCAAGCTCTCTGACAATAACCAAGTAAGCACTCAGGCAGATCACTGGAAAGGGGACACTCTAAGCTAGAAGGACAAAGAGCACTGGGGGCTACCTGGCATTCTGACAGCATGGGTCACAGCCAGGATCCCAAGGTCACCTTAACTTCCAGGAGGAGGAGAGGACACCTGTGTTGGACTTAATGTTGAGGCCTGGTGGGTTAAGCTGTTACTCCTGCCACATTGGCAATTCTAAGTGGATGCCAGCTCCTGTTCTGGCTACTCCACTTCCAATCCACTTCCCTGTTGATTTGCCTGGGAAAACAACAGAAGACAGCCCGAGTCACTGAGTCCCCACAACAACGCAGAAGACTCAGATGCTCCCAGATCCTGTTTTAGGGTAGCCCAAACCTACTTGTTGCAGCCATCTGCGGTAAACCAGTGCATGGAAGTTCTCTTTTTCTCTCTCGTTCTCTAAGTTTGGCTTTCAAATAAATCAATAAATCTTAAAAAAGTATTTTCATGTTTCAAATTAGAAGGTCCAAGAATACTCAAGGCAGCCTTTAAAATTTCTCAGGCAAGTCGCACTATAATCCTTACCTCATCTGTGAAGCTTTGTTTTGTTTTTTAATTTTAAAAGCGTTCCTCCTGAAGGCTGACCCTGGAAGTAGTAAGGGGCAGGGCCTTCTGGAGGTAAGACATGAGAGCTCAAGGTCAGTGCTGCACGTTCGCGCAGTCATCTGACGTGCAGTCCCATCTCTCATTGGGTGTCGGCTCTCTGCCCGACACAGACCCTAACAGAACTGCAGAATCATCAAGGACATGTCTATTCCCAGATGAGGTCACTGAGGCTCCCAGAGGGTAAGCTGCAAGCCAACATTTCACAACTTGGCTGGTGTTGCAACTGGTGCAGATCCAGGGGCCCTGCCGCTACCGCCTGCCCACATTTATTCTCCCAAGCTTGACTCCTGCATGTTTTCCTTGCTTCATGTACTTCCTCCCTGCGACTTGGTTTTCTGGGACTCTGTGGCAGTGGGCTGGGAACTGTATCCCGGCTGCTGAAACGGGGTTGCAACATCCACAGAGACATCCCCTTAAGGGGGGTTTCCGTATTCGGTGTTAACTACGGGATTCTTGAATTTCTTAACTGTGTGTCAGCCTCTGCTTACAGATGCCCTCCTTCCAGTGAAACCCAACTAGGTGAGCACATCCGTGCCCCAGCTTGTTGACTTTCGTCCATGTGGACAGCTGCAGGACTCCATGCCAAGGAAGTGCAAGGATTTCCTGTACCTACACAGGGCAGGGGTGACAGCCCTGACTCCTGAGTCTGAATATGAGCGCTCCGTGCGGGCAGTTGAGGAACTACAAGCAACCAATGGGCAGCGGTCACTGGTCACTTTGGCTGTGTGGAGGGGACACCACAACCAAAAGCAAGAGCTGGAGACCCGGCCAATGTGAGCAAAGGAGCAGAGCAGGGATTTCTGCAAAGTCCTGGCTGCTCCGATGAGTGTGCTTGAAGAAGTCGGCGTCTGCATTCCAGGAAGAAGAGGGGCTGTGGGTCAGGGAATCCCCGGGCGGGCATGGGGCAGTAGGAGCTGGCCTGAGCACCCCATGTTTTGTTTCCTCACAGAGGCAGGATGGCCCCTTCACCTCTCTCTGCTGGGACTGCCTGCCGCCCACGCTTGGACGCGCTGTGATTTTCAAACAGGGTGCTTATTGGGCGGGAAGTGAAGCTGCTGAGGACAGATGGGGTGGGGGTGGGTCCTCTGGGGCTGGTAAACTGGGGTGTCTCAGGACCCTAGCAACGCCCAGGAGGAGAGGGAGACAGTGGGGTAGGGCCCTCCACGCTGGGAACTCGCTGCTCTCCCTTCAATCACCCTCACGTGGGATCCTTTCGCAGTGTTATTTTGTAAGAGTCTGAGACAGGATCCAGGTTTCAGGAACGCGGCAGAAAAAACAAACTCGGAGAGTTTGGCTGAGCTAATCCTGAGAGTGCTATGTCAGGCATAAAAAATGCGAAAATACATCTTGGAGTCATTACTCATAGCAGCCTGTGCCGCTATAGGAAAATTCCTCAGCGGGGAGGCCGCTGTGCCCGAGGGAATGCGCCTGCTCTCCGGGCCTGGCAGGAGGGAAGGGCCCCGATGCCCACAGCGCAGCCGCCGGG